GCAACTCTGTTATTTTCTTAACAGATGTTGAGCTAAAGTTTGGCATGGTAGTAGCTGAGAGTCATACCTACAGCTGAAACACGACCTCGCAGCTGTTCAACCTTTTGTTTATCTCGTAATTATTGATCCGCTTCGCTGCCTTCGTGACTTTTCACATCTGAGGATCTCAGTAATTGACGGATGGAGCAGCAGAAACCGGTTCAGCTGTTTACACCGGGTTCGTGACTAAATGCAATCAGGACTTTGTTAACAGAACTCCGACCCGATGGAAAGTTTTACCTCTTCAACAAACTTTCCAGAGTCATTGAGAGGGTTTTTAAAGCTTTGTTTTTGTCAAAACTTTATCGAACAAAGCCTTTTTCATTACATTATTATCTGTACGCTGAAATAATCCTCTGACAAATTTATGCTAATTTAAATCAGCAGCTCATCACTTAAATGCACAAACCTTGAAACGATGAAAACAATGAATTTAAGCCAAGCAGATGCCAAATATAACAAAAATTAATTAAAGATGTTTGATGACAGCTCATCAAAACAAAGACAGTGATTTCCTTAATGAGTCCAAAAATCTTGACTTTAGCATTTTTTATCTTGCTTTTAAATGTTATTTCGTTTATTTTCATTTGATCAATCCACGTTCAGGGTTTTATGAAAGAAAAGAGTTAAAGAAACAAAACAACTTGTCACATTTTAAATTATAATCAGGTTAAAATCGACATAACCCCAAATTATTGAATCAAGACAAACAACAGAAACGTTTGGCTGAAGTTGTTTCTTATTTTATCACGAGATTATTTTGTGAGATGTTTTGTTTGTGTGAATCAGTAAAATAAAAAAGTCATGAGGGGAGTTTTCTCTCTGGTTTTATTGCAAATTGTTATTTTTGTTTGTCTCAGAATGTCTCCAAAGAGCCTAAAAACCTAAAATTTCAAATAGAAGTTTTGAATGTTTTTAACCAGTAACTGCAGCGATACAAGCAGCTACACATCTGCTTCATCGATTACTCGCAGCGTTGTAAAGTAAGTACAAATACTTCTTTACTGTACTTAAGTAGAATTTTTGGGTATCTGTACTTTACTTGAGTAATTATTTTTCAGCCTACTTTTTACTTCTACTCCTTACATTTGTAAAAAAGAGAAGAAGTAGAAAGTTGTTGCTCTTATATCATTTTTGCTTGTTTTCATTGCAGCTTGTTATTGTAAAAAAAAAATATCCATATTAACTGTACCTCCTAGATAGAGTGAATTTAACTGTGATTGAATG